TATATATATATATATATATATATATATATATAATCGTAACGAATATTCTTTCGTAATAATGTCATAAATCCTTCCGATAACAAGGAAGAAAATACTGCGAGCAATGAATTTTCCCTCACCTATCCCCCTCCCCCTATGCCCGATAAATTTCAAAATTTAAATACTTCGTGCGCTTACCTGGCTAACAATTTCTATCATTTGTACGATATAAAAAAAGATATCCTTTTTATACGTCTTCTTTATAGGAAGTATAATAGAATAGTAGAATAGATGGGCGACCGTTGCGTGGAAGAATACAATTCGTACTAAGGATCGTGAAGACGAGAGCAATATATTTATATTGTTTTTGTTTTTATTATTTTTTCTATAGTCGTCGTCGTCGTCGTCGTGTCGTCATCGTCGTAGTGTCGTCGTCGGTCGTGTTAGTTTATAGTTGGAATCGATTTGCACGCGCGCGCATGCTTGTTTGCGAGATGATGCAAAAATCGTGTATAAATAACGAAGCTTGTTTGTTTACGTTTGCATAACACGATGTATCAGCAACTGCTCGCGTGTAAAAAAGCAAAAAAAAAAAGAAAAAAAAAAATGGGAAAGATAAAGAAAAAGAGAAAGAGAAAATGTGTGAGAGACTTTTAACCGAAACGGCAGACCGTTTCCACGCGGTCTCATAAAAGCGACTATAAAACCCCAGACGGATCGATGACAAGAGTAAACCGAGATTATTCGTAACATCGCGAACTCTCAAACACATACAAACATATATATATATACACACAAACGCGCGAGCTAACATATGAGCACGTTAACGCGGAACGCACGAATACACTTATACAAAGAAAAATGAAAAAGAGTAGGCCTATCAACGATGACGTGCGATAAAATTTCACACTACCTTTCCTACTTACTCGGTATTCTGTTGATAGCTCGTAACGGCCTTAAAACCCTTATCGTCCGTATCGCCGATAGATTCATGTTCTCCACGTTAAGGCAGTATTCTAGTGCGCTGAAAACGATCGAAGAAAAATCATTTTTCTCTCAATACATCCCCCTTTTTATTCATCGGAATTATATTCACCGTCACGTACTAAACCCTCCCTCCCTCTCTTCCTCCCTCACACCTCTCGAAACGAACAAATTCATGTGAGAACCTTGAAAGTTTTCAAACAACTTATATGAAAATAGACTCCTATTAAATTTGACTTTACTGAAACTTCGAAACAAAATCGTTTTTTAATAAATTCATTTATCGAACGATAAAAACAACGTGTTATTCTAACATTGTCTGTTCTATCACATTTTTGTCATCATCTTTTTCTTCTTCTTCTTTTATTTTCAATTTATTTAACAAACAATGTCGAACATTCATCATTCGTGGTTTTTTTTTTATATGTCTAACGAATTTTTCTAGTTAAAATTTCCTTTTTTCTTCGCTATTCTAATTAAGCGAGGTTTAGGTTTATAAGAAAAAAAAAAAAACAAACAACAACAAAAATAAAAAAAGGGAACGCCCGTATGCGTCGTTGTTACAGGCTCGAACACGAGATCAAAGGGTTCACGGAATATAGGTACGAGATTTCATTAAAAATCACGCGAATCGGAAAGAAATTGAATTTTCTTACAGGGAATTCAACGAACGAATTGAAACCCCAAAATGAACGTTATATGAAAACGAAAAAAAAAAAAAAAAAAAAAAAAAAACAAAAACACCAAAATATAAATTCAAAATTAGAAATATGTGTTATCCGGCTAATTTCGTCTCGTGTCGTATCGTAAAATCAATAAATAATAATCAATATTTTCTATAACGCAAAGTTTAACCACGTTTCACCGACATTATTATACGCTACATTCATTCACGAATTCGAAAATAATCGATCGTTCGAGAAATCGTGACGAGACTAACCGAGAACCGAGCAAAAAGAACCAAAATGGAAATTGCGGGATACAAGGTCGCGCCTACATAGCTCGTTGAAAATGAAAAGAAAAAAAGATAAGGTGGTGGGGAAGAAAAAAAACAGAAGGAAAAAAACGTGTAAGATAAAAAGAAGACGCGAAATCGTGCCCTTTTTTAAAACTACTTGCCTTGAAGAGAGACTGAGAGTGAGAGAAAGAAAAAGAGAGAAAGAGAAGGAGAGAGAGAGGAATTCCAAAATAAGAAATAATAAAGTGCCACTTACCCGGCTGCTACTATAAAGAAGTCTAATCTATTCCAGGAGTCAGCGAGATAAGTCCCTTTACCGTATATACCCATTGCCACCATTTTTATCGTCATTTCCAAGGAGAAGAAGGCGAAGATTATGTCGTCGAACATCTGCAAAAAAAAAAGAAAAAGAAAAAAAAAAGAATATATAATATAAGAAGATTAAGGAATTATAAGAATAAGATCCAACTCTAAGGGCTGATGCAAGTTGATGCATGAAGAAAGAAAGCTTGGGATTGGATAGATCGTAGAAGGACTATCAAGGGTATCCAACATGATTGATTGAGAGTACTCGACGAGAGATTCGATTATCGATGAGCATCCTACGACAATGAATTGTGTTTCTGCTCCTTGTATCTCCTCTACTCTTTATTCTATTCCGAGTATCAATTTTGAGATGAACAAGAAACTTTTTCTCTGTCTCTCTCTCTCTCTCTCTCTCTCTCTCTCTCTCGTTTTCTCTTTGACTCTAGTTAGAGATGGACACAAAGATAACCAATTGATTTGACTCGATTGATCAATCGATTATTACCTCGATTGTTCTTCACACCTTTCAATCTATCCTTTCATGCGATAAATTACTTCTTAGATGATAGAATAAAGTAGTCAATATCTTATAATTAATATATATATATGTATTTTTATCAATAATATAAGTATATTTATTTACGTATGTATGTACGTTTTCAAAATGTTAGTTTGATATGAGGGAACTCGTTAGAATATTTGTAATTAGAAATGAATATGTGAGATATAATTAAATTGTTAATACATCATTTTGATGTGTTACTTAATCATTTGAGTGTCAAAAAGGCACAATTGTATTTCTTCTGTTTAATGTTTAATATAAGTGTGCCAATTAATCGGTTAGTTACAATTAACGAGGATAGATTGTTCAATAACACAGAATTGTGAATTGTTTATGAGATTCTCTCGAAAAAAAAGAGACATTGAGGAAAAAAATATTATTTCTTTTTTCTACTCATATATTTTTACGTATTCTTTAAGATCCATTGTCTTACGGAGATATTACGATTATTTATTAACAGTAATAATGAAGATTAACAATTTAAAATGAAAAAGGCAACGATCTATACTGGGTACTTGGCATTTAAATGTTCTCAGAAATACCGTGACATTAAAACGATTAAGATCGCATAACAGATTGATAATCTAACGTGCTTACCTGTAATATTTTGCACCTATTCGTCACGCATTGGTCGTCCACGCAAGGCTGATACATTCCTAGCGTAATGCAGTTGAGAAGAATCACCATCATGCTGACTCTTTCGAACCACGTAAATCTCTCGGTTAAGGAAAAAATCATTTATCATCTTTTTTCTCAAATAGAAAGGAATGAAAAGAAATAAATAAATAAAAGAGAACAAAAAATGGGACTTTGTCACACATATAATACACATGTCAAGATAAATTCATGTTCCAGGGCGCGTTGTAGCGTTGATAAACGGCAAGATGGACAAAAAAGTAGACTTCCCTTTTCGGTAACACGCAACGAAATTATTTCGACTTAGAAGAGAGAAGAACACTCGAACGGCGTAATTAAAAACATAGGGAGCGTTGAAAAGCGCTTTCATAAAATGTAGGTTAAAGCGACATTAAGAGTATACCTATATGTACATAGGCGTACAACGACGATTCATTGTGAGAAGTTGTTTATGTTAAAGAGAGAGAGAACGGAATGTTGCAAAAGGAATTGCTTTGGGTCCGAACGAAACAGAAACTTGTATCACGGAATCGTCGATAACCAGCCAGCCAACCAACCAACCAACCAACCAACCAACCAACCATCTCCTACAACGAAATATTATACCATTGTTAAATGCAAGTAGGTGATACAATGGTCCTGACAATGAGTTAAGAATTTCTTTATACAATGCCTTCAATTTGTTTCCCCTGCTTCGTCTTCTTCTTCTTCTTGTTCATCTCCTAAGGAGTACCGCATCGAATGAAAAGCAGAGATTATGAATGGACCAAGAGAGTATCCAAAGAGAAGTTTTAAATGCATCGTAAGAAGAAACCCTTACGGCGATATCTTACGTATTCTCTCTTATCGTTAAACCGATATATTCGTTCGCGACTCTGTTCTAACTTCAAAATCGATTTTTATCTTATATTTTTATCTCCCTCTCTCTCTCTCTCTCTCTCTCTCTCAATCTTTCTCTTTTTTATTACCCCTCTCATGAATTAATTATTATCATATATAATCTGATATATCAGGTATAAGAGAATTAATTCGTTACATTGATAATTCATTGTATCAAAATCGTCGTTGTTTTTATTTTTGTTTCTGTTTTTTTTTTGTTTTTGCGTCAAAGAATTCGGCTCAATTGCATAAAAGATGGATCAAAGTCATCGACAATAATGCATGTGTACGATTACTTCACAAGTAAATATTAAATTTATTAAGATTTGATATTAATCGCGAATTTTAATTGCTACGCTTAAAATAATATATATATATGTGTGTACGTTGTTTCGCATAATATTTTTCTTTTGTTGTTTTTTCATTTTATTTTCTACGTTCCGAACAATACTCGTATCATTTATCTTATATTTAACTTACAAACATGCCACGTGTTTGTCTAGAGACACGCATCCCGATGATTATATAGGTAATGGCGAGTTAGAATTATTCAAACTGTCCTTTTACCTAAGCCAATATACTTTGAACATCAACTCTAATATATATAAAATATCATACATATATATGTGCTTTGTCCATAAGTTGAAAAAGATTTGTTTGCCAGTAGTATAGCTTTAAATTAAAACCGTTCATTCGTATGTACCATTTAACTTACGATTGTTACATATATCTAATATGCTCGAATTAAGATAAAACCTTTTTACCAGTTTTTCTTCATTGAAATTCGTTATACGGTATTTCTCACATGACGGGAAAACATCGATCGATGAAAATAAACTTCGACCATAATCTTCTGGTCGATCGCCGTTGCCAAGTGACTATTATCTAAACACTTCACTTACGATAGGACAATTTAACTCTATCCAAATGCATTACCATAAAATCTGATATTGGATAATTAAATGTAACTTCGTTCGATCGTTTCGATTGATTTTTCTTTTTTCATTTTTTTTCTTTACTTTTCGAGAATCTAAAAATTAAAGGGTTTTTCATAGAAGGATAAAATTCATTTGCTAAGGATAAATTAATATTTTATGTGCTAGAACGTTGAGGGGTAAAGAAAACAAAAAAGAAAAGAAGAAAATTGGTAGGTAAAATAATAAAAAGAATAGGAAAGAAAAAAGAAGAAAAAAAAAAAAAGAAAGGAAAACAAAAAATCGATTAACCGATGTCGCATGGCAGACGTGTTTTTTTTTAAACGTATAGAAAAGTGTACGGAAGAGGTAATTGGCCTTCTCTTGACTTATAGTAGAACAATGCATAACGTCAGAAAGGAGATCGCGTGACTGTTACCGAACACGCAAGATTATAAATTATTTCCCTCGAGAAAACGAAGAGCGTTACCGGGATTTTAAATAAAATGACATTTAGCCAGTTATCTATCCATCTATCTATGTGTTTGTGTCTACGGAAGGGATGAATTTCTGAGAAACAAGTTGGCGACTTATTTCGAAAGAATTTTCGAGGATAGATAAGGTAACGCGTAGACCGTTAAAATTCGTTGTTTCCGTAATAAAAATGCGCCTGGTATCCTCGGGCGTTAGCATAATTGGATGGAAAATTCAAATACGCCAGCGGGTTAAGTAAACAATTTGGAAAGTGTTACGGTGTTTCTTTACGTCCTTATTTCTTCTTTCTAGATAAAATAAAGAAAGAGAGAAATGTTTTACAATATTAATATTTAAATTATATTATCTTACTTTCATTTATATTTCAAGATGCGCGAAACGAGGACGTAAAAATATATATATATATGAAATGAGAAAAATAATATCTTTCTTACCGCGCGAGAAATTACTTTTAATTAATTTATTTATAATATCTCTATACGCGTGTGTGTGTGTGTGTGTGTGTGTGTGTCACGAAGGAATCGAAAAAAAAATCGAATTTTGTTTCTCGCTGAACGATCGAATCGAAAAGTAAAAGTTCGACGAAACGGAATAAAAAAGGGTTAAATAAATTCAACGATGTATCCTCACACGGAATACATGTATTTCCCCGTGTGCACAGCACAGTAAGGGAGACGAAATTTTTTTTCTAGGTCAGTGATACTTTTAGCACGAGAATAAGCGGCCGAGACGCGCGAGGAAACGTGCAAGATTGAAACTACTGCAGCAAGAATATTCCGTTTTTCTTCGCTTGACTTAGAGTCCCCATTTGTACACGATTTATGAGTGTTCCGTCGTCGGATTAGATATCTTACGGTTGGTTACTTTTAAAAGAAAGAAAGAAAGGAAGAAAGAAAGAAAAAAAGAAAGAAGAGAGAGAGATAAAATCTTTCGATAAAAGAAAATGATATCGAGCCTTAATTAGCGTTTTATTGTTTCATTCAATCCTTTTTAAACCCTCGCAATTTTAACGTTAAATAGAAATAACAAATCTTTAAATTGTAAAAGTTTCATAGTTGCGCGCAAAAAAAAAAAGAAAAAAAGAAAAAGAAAAGAAATGTTCATCACGCTTTTAAAAATAATCTCCCGTTGAAATCTCTAATTGGATTTTGTTATCAAAGCTATTTAGAAGAGAAAGGTACGCAACGGTAAGGTGAAAAAAAAAATCTCCCAACTGTGAGGATGTAAAGTAAAGTTGTAGGTAAAGTAACAGAGGGGTAAAAGTAAAGTTGGATAAAACGAAGCCACACGTATGAATTCTACGTGTAGATTCGCACAAAAGCACAGGAATATGACATATCCGATAAAGAACATGCGCCTGTTAAATCCAGTGACGCGCATTGGAGAAAGTTTGTTAGGCGAAGGACAAGATAAAGGAAGACAGAGAGAGATAGATATATATATATAGAGAGAGAGAGAGAGAAGAGAGAAAAGGGTCTCAACTCCTTAAGTAAAAGCCCATGAAACTTCTCTCCTTTTATCTTTCGCACCGTAGTAGCCTATAAAGTCCGTTCCTCCCTAAAAGATCCAACAAACTTTGCCTATCCGGTAAGACTATTAGAGAATTTATTATCCTTTGAAAATCAACATTTTTTTTTCTAGGACAAATAATAAACGAAACTTTGTTAACCGATAATAAAAAGAAAAAAAAGTAATAAGTAGATAAAACGAGACAATTACCCCCATCGTTTGTACCATCATTTGTTAATTTTATCAATTTATCATTTCGCAATTTGTTTTTTTTTCTTTTTTTTTATACCATCAAAATAATCGAATAAATTGTCTCTCTGGCAACGATTTTAGAAACGACATTTCGCCTCGTTCAATTTACTTCGAAATATTTTCTTTACTTTTTCGTGACGTAAACGGGACGTCGTACTACTGTTCCATGGATTTCAGCTTCCATTAAAACGTACTCTGTGGCTGCATTCAAGCGCCACCAGTAAATCATACGTCGGGCAAGCTTACCAAATGGTAGTTGTGTCGTACCAATGTTGCGTATAATACCATGCCGTTTGTCCCTTTTTCCTCTCTCTCTCTTTCTCTTTCTCTTTCTCTTTCTCTCTCTTTTTCTCTTTCTTTATTATGTACCTTTTTTCTCCTTATTCCTTCCCTTCGACTAAAACAAGAACTGTAGTCTTCGAGTCGAGTAAATACGAATAGGAATGTGCTAGCAAACAGTTGTTGAGTTATAGGAGCCTAGCTTTAACCTGAACCAGACCGTCCAACTAACGAGAGAGGGAGAGAGAGAGAGAGAGAAAGACAAACTTCTAAACGACTAAAGTTTGTATTAATTACGTCGTTCTTCGAGGAAACGTGATATACGAAAGCTGAACAACGAAACGGTAGAAACCTCATCTTTAGCACGCACGATATATTGAAATATCTATCTGTAATATATATACCTTTCCCATGATATATCAAGTTATGGTGAATAAATAATATTATTAAAGGAAATCTTATACTTTATATTGAATTTTGTTATTAAGGTATATTACGAAGTTTCGTACCAACAACTTTAGCAACTTTATTAAAATATCTCTATATTTAGAAAATGAAGAGAAGAGAATAAACACGAACAAGAGAAAGATATAGATATATAGATAGATAGATAGATAGAGAAAGAGAGAGAGAGAAAATTACAAATTGAAATTGATACGCGTTGAAAAATAAATGACGTGGCAAGGTAAGAAGATCTGTCGGAGTTAGGTAAAATGAAGGTATGAATTCCAAACAAAGCATCGGG